TTTTTTCTATACGAAGCTATATATTATAAAATATTCTATTACACAATTTAGATTGCCAGAATATTAAAGAAAAACGACTTTAAGAAAACCAAAAAGCATCAGTTGATTTGAGACAATTCCCAAACTCTTACAATTGCAACAACCAACAAAATAAAGAAAAGAATTACCTCAATTTTTAACACTTCCTTTTCCAATGCGACAGTAAGTTGCTCTGTTTCCTGAAAATTTTGAATCAAGCCCATCAAATATGTTGCAGTGATGAAATTTCCGTCTTTGATAGAGTTAGGGCACTACATGACTAATAATTGAAACTCACTATTTCCAGTATGATTTACATGCCAAGTACTCAAATAAATTACTTAACCCATGACTTAAAAAATGCTAAAAGGATAAACAAAAGCATCCTGAGATCTACAAGCAAACAGCAGCTTTATCATATAGTGGGAATTAGAAGTTCCTTTTCGGTACTAGAGTTACCAGCATGCTGTTTTCAATTAAATAATGGAAATGAGAGGTACCTCATATGGCCAACCATCAACAACAAAGACATCTAACGAAAATCCGTCTACTGTGGAAAAAGCATGTGCTTCCTGGATGTTAAGGCCAATCTCAGCAAGCAAGGCAGTCAGCTGCAAAATTAGTATGGCATTAGTCAACATGGCGAATGAGAATAAAATTGTTATAATAATACAGAAATGATCGTCATATAGAAGCCAAAGATTCCTTGCATAAGCTAGAAACTATAACTACAAGGCCACTGACTACTGCCAGAAGTATGTCATCTGAAAGCATACCTATGCAAGCTAAATATCAGAATTATAGCATCCCAACATTTCAAAACTTAATAGACATTATATAGATCTCAATAAACCTCATCCATGACTGGATACGTGCACAGAAGCATGAATACCAGAATATGTTTAGGTCCAAGACATGCGGGTCTCTTAATGTTTAGGAAAAGCATATCTTAGCTATTCCAGGTGGAAAATGACCAACCAACCTAATAAGTTGCCAACTGAAAGGAGCAAGTACTTATCTCAAACCCCTCATGCATCCATTTTTATATGGCCTAGTGTGTCAACAAGCAGAAGAAACCAACTTAATAAGTTACGGCCTTGTGTGCCAACAAGCACAAGAAACCAACTTAATTGAGTTACCAACTGAAAGGAACCAGTACTTGGAAATAAATTTCCCCATTGAAGAGAAGACAAAATCTTTTTAATGAATCTTAAAAAACAGTGCAAATTTTCTACATTGAAGAGTCAGATTATCACATACCTGACTGAGAAGTTTTGGCTTGTCTTCCGTTGAAAATGTAATTTCATGCAAGGGCCTAAAACAGTACGAGTAGCAAAAGAGCATGAGTTTCAAAACTAGAAAATGAAAAATACTTCATCCAATGTACTCGAAACTATTTTGTCAATGGAAATTAGTGGGATCATTTGCAATGCAATAACGAGTGAAGATAAAGTAAGCATAAATATGCAACAATACGTAAAAGATAGTCAAAACTGGATATTGGCACATTGTTATATGTTGCACTGCTTGCAGAATATGTTGCAGCTCATCTAAGTGGATCCCAAAAAGATCCCATCTCTATTTACTTCCCTATTGCAATAACTCATATTTCTTTACTTATCACTTCAATTTTTGAACTTTAAAACCATCATGCAGAAACTGATCTAGATGAAGACATTCAAAAGAAAGGCAATGTAATTGAAAATATGTTTATACCAATCTGACAAAACACAGCATAAGAAAATGAAAGTTACAGGAGGACTTAAGGTCAGGAGAATTTATATTTAAGGACTTGAAAACATATAGGCTTATATCTTGTAACAGTTTCACCAACCCTTTTTTTCCTAGAGAAGATGATGAAAGCTAAATTAAACCCGTCTATTATTAAAAGTAAGTTCTCACCATCCTCTCCCATCGCCCTATTCTAATGTTTTCTTTAATTAAAGCTGAAATGGTGATGCTAACAGAGAAAGCAGAACATCTGCAGGATGTTCTTCAAAACTGTACCACATCTTCCCTTCTTGCAGCGTGATAAATTTGTTTTCTTTGTCCTCTCCAGTTTTCCATCACAAAATGCTAGTGGAAGAATGACAAGTTAACTTGGTTATATCTAAAGATTAGGAAGTTGAACTTTTCATTGACCAGTAAAATAAATACAACTGAATAACTAAAAAAATTAAATTATGACATTCATGTTGGATCTAGATGAATCAAGTGAGTGAGCCGAAGCTACAACATATTTAACAAGAGAAACCTTAAGTCTTTTCTGTAGACATTTTCCAGATGAAATCATATACCGTGAAAACCATGAATTGGCATGTACGGAACTATCACTCTCTGGATCCTGTGATTTACTAGCTTCAAGAGCAAGGGCCTCAAGATTGGGTGATGAACCAAAAGCAGGTGGCGGATGTATGCTGAGAATAGAGAGGCCAACTATAGAAGTCAGGCATTGTGAGGAGATCAGCCAATGGATTAAATAAATAATAATAATAAAGAAAGAAAGTTTATAAGATTTAACTGATGTGCAATAAAGCAAGCAACAGCAAAAGTTTTAACTGATATACAAATACATAATAATTTTACTTTTAACAAATTTATTTACATTTTTCAGGTTTCTCAGGAATTAAAAGAGTTTCACGTCCACACCTCTGCCTGCTAGACATTCGTGGAGAACTTTGGACAATGTCATTGCTCGAAGAATCTGAACGAGCAGAATCATCTGGATTCCCATTGCGCTGAACCTGCACAGGAAATTGATTGCCATATTGTATTTGCTACTAAAATTAACAAACACAAACATAAAAAATTTTATGTCCTTTAATTTGTTCCTAAAATATACTAAAATAATTTGTCATAAAACATATACAGCAGATAAAGTTTCATGCTAGTTGGACAGATTCTTTAAAAGTGAAAAATATTAAAAAAAAATGATAAAAGAAGAAAAATCATTAGAAGGAGGGGGAAAACACAAACTAAGATTATCCTCCAAAAGAAAAAGAAACAACAAAAATGCAATAATGATACATGATGGTGATCAGATCCATTTGCAAAAGCAATCCAAAAATATGATATTAAAACTAAAAACTTTATTACAAATGCAATTGTTATTCCTTTGACTTAACTAACTTTAACTAAATTACAAATGCAATTGCTACTCCTTTTAATTAACTAACTTTAAATTCTTAACATTCATTCACAAAGATTAAATTATCTATCACTATATAAGATAACCTCAATTCAAATTCAAAGCCCACAGCATATCTGAATGACTAGCACTGAAAAGAATAACTCAATTATGCAAATGAAATGCAACAATAAAAATTGTCAAAATTTTAAAATCATATACTGTAAAGATGCATCTAGCTCTTGCATTCCAAAGTATGAAACAAGCTTACATTTCTAAACACATTCCTATTGATTTCATGGTTAAGAGAAGATAGAAAAGGAGAATCAATCATGAAGGCACAGCATCACCACACTACTTCAAAATAGAGTCAATGAAATGATAATTATTTTGCTCAGACCTCCCAAATGCTGAAAATACCAAAGCAATCCTCAGCTCAGAAGTTGTGCTTATAAACATTGTATTCATACTTTGCAGTTTATAAAATAACTAAGAAACTCCGATTCCAAAATGATTGATGCTTTCAAAGCACAACATTGCATTTTTATTATAGCTTCAATTCAAATATCTCCTTGAAAGTGGATACCAAATGAAAAAAGAAAATCTTTTTTACGGCAATAAGCTAAATGAAAATAGGCTGACAATGAAAATACTGTTTGGGACCAATGTAGTCTGGGAATATCGGATATTGATATGCCACATGTGGACCCTAATCAAACCCAATCTAAAAGCAAAAAGGATAATAATCTTGACAATTACCATCACCAGTCAGGAAGGATTAATAAGACAAAATACCATACTCCACTCTCGCTGTGCCTGAGGGCGTATATGATGCAAGTACTTCTAATCACAGTAGTCCAGCGTCAAAAACAGAAAGTTCACTCAATCAATGGTTAACTGATGATGCTAACTCATAAGTGTAATGGACCAACCTGTACAAGTCGGACTTCAATCGCAGGCCTAGTAGCTGGATCTTGCGCCAGGTGAAGCAATCTCTTATGTATAAGAACATCTTCTGCCCTCTCCACATTCACATCCAAGGCATACCTTTAGCAGATGTTCAAGCACTTTAGCACGAGTTTAACAGCCATAAAACTTTAAGGAACTGATCAATCAAACAACTCGTTGCATATCAAAAGAATACACAATCAGAGTTTTAGCTACCATCAAACATCCTCCGAAAACCTTTAACATCCATGATAAAAAGTTAACATGTGCTTGTTTTTCAAATTTGCTCCGCTACAACCAGAAAAAAAAAAAAAAAAAAAAAAAAAAAAAAGAAGGAAACAAAAAGAAAAATATCGAAATAAAACGAAAATGAGAAATCTCCACCCCAGCAACCAGAATGAAAATTTATAAACCAAATACCCAGTAGACCATCAATCTACTAAGACACGATGAACCAATAACCAATAAGCAATAAAATACGTCAAAACAAGTAAAGACGATACTTGGAAAAAATTTTAAAAAAAAAAAACTAAAATCCATATCCATGAACTTGAAAAGTAATCTCCAAGTAAGGGATTCGATATCGAAGCGAAAAACTTAATATCCATAATATGCATGTAGACGACCAAAAATAGCGTGCGCATCCAAACATACACAGACACATATATAATTTTTACTGAAAAATACATATACAAATACATTGTATATGCATGTACGGAATCCCGTGGAAGGAAAAAGAAAAAGGTATAGGTACCGCGTAGGGAGTCGATTGAAGTGAGCCCAAAGCTCATCGTTGAATCCAGGCCGATTAGCCTCTTCGTTTCTCGATTCTCTGAGTCGACGAAGAACCTCATTGTATACCTCCTGCTTCTGCCTCTGCTGCCTTGTTTGCGTCAGAGAAGACGGCGTATCGTGCACTCTACTCCCGCAGCTCTCGTTGTCGTCCATCACCATTGAAGCCGAAAAAGAAATGCAAATAAAGAAGAGAGAACCAAAAGAGGCGGTGATCTCTTTTTGCTTCAGGTGTACGGGAGTGCCTTTACAGGGAGACGCAGCAGATTTGAGAAGAAAGTGAAATTAAAATTGAAAGGAAAATGAAAGAGAAGAATAAGAGAGGAAGAGAGGTCGCCTATGGCTCTGCATTCTATGTATATCCTTCAGCTTCCCGTCTAGATTTTATATACTGGTTTTTTTTAACATAACGGCGTAGCGTAGTGCGCACCATTGAATGACGCCGTACCAGCTAGCCAATGCTAATCCTCTTCGGTATTGCTATTTACGGTTTTCTCCAGTAATAAATGGTATTTGTTTCAAATTTTTTAATTTTATAAATTAAGTAATGTTATTTTATAAGGAAAATTCCTGGCTTAGTTTGAACATGTTTTTTATTTGGTAATGTTTAATAAATAATTTCTTTTTTTTTAATTATTATTATTAAGATAAGTGCAGGTTTTCAACGGGGTTTGGGTGTTTTTTCTTGGTGGGGGGGGTTGCCATTTTTGCTTGCAATCTTAGGTGGTTGCTGGATATATTAAATTTGCCGAAAACTGAATTGACAATTTTACCCTTCTCACCTGTTGTGTCATCACGGTTTCATAGATATCCGCTAGCATCCATTCTTCAAATCAAAAATATCTTTAATTAAAATTTTAACAAATATTTAATATTTAATATTTAATAAAATGAAATATCATTGTACTCATAAATTTAGAACAACTAGCTACTTTATTTCATGGTAAAAATTAAATAAATTTGATTAAAAATCTGATTTGATATTTAAATAAATCATATATAAATTTACAATATAAAATTAACTTATCGTATCACTAGTCATTAATTAAATATTATTTTCGATCAAACATTCATATAAGACTCTTTATTATAATAACTTTAGATTCATATTTTATTTTAGATCAATACTTTTTTAATTTAAATTAAATTTATATTTTTTATTAAATAAAAGACATTTTTTTTTATAGGATAACTTTTGTTTCAAGTGGGTATAGTTATATTAATTTATTAAAAAAGTGTGACATTTGAAATTATAATTAAACTGTACTTATTAATAAAGACAAATTGGAGCATAATATGTCTTATAAAAATAAACGAATAGGATACTCCAATTTGAATATTGAAAATATTATTTGCAAGAAATAGTATTAACAAAATATTTCTAGCAATATGTAAATGTAATATTTATGTAACACCCAAAAAAATTTTCTTTTATTATTTTATTCTTATTTTTATTGAAATATTGTTTATTTTATTTTATTTTAATAATTAATTTATAAAGTTTTAATTTAATTTAATTTAATTTAATATAAATAATAATAATAATAATAATAAAATGGGGCAAAAATTATTTTTTGTATTTAATTGAAATTGATTTTGAGAAAAATGTGTAAAAATTTGAATTCTGTAAGTGTTTTTGAAAAGAAAATTAAAAATTGGGAGTCAAAACGCAATTTAAAAAAATAGTGTCACGTCAGCAGCCGCGTCAACAGCCCCGGCCAACCAGGACACGACGTGATAGGGACGCTGACGCGCAAAGCCACGCGAGACGGAGACACGTGGGTGATCCATATGCGTGCGATCGGACGGCCCAGATTTCACACGTGCGAACGGTTCAGATTTAATCACGCACGGACGGCTCAAATCGCATCGCGATGGACGGTCCAGATTTATTTCTAATTTAATCACGATCAGACAGCTCAGATTAAATCATGATAGACGGCTCATATTAAAAAGAGAATGTTATAAATAATCGCATTTACACCTAACCCCAAACCCTAGCCACCAGAACCCTCGTTGGAGAAGACGACCCAGCCACTGGAGGAACCTGCCGCCGCCACCCACTGCCGCACCGGAGGATTTTCTGGCCGCCAAACGAGGTAAAATTTCTCCCATTGGCTCGTTTTTCGATGTTGAACCTCCCTGTAGCCAAATCGGAGCCAAACCACCGACCGATTGGCTAGAAAACACTACCTAAGTCTAGCGGCGGCGCCGCGGGTTTCTTCGATTTTTGCCTCCAATGAGGCCCTTCCCAGTTCTCATTCGATGTAATTTTTATATTACTGTGACCACCGTCTTTTTCTCTACAGGTTGACCGGAGCAAAATACCAAACCATAACTCGTGCCGGAGGAGCCGCCGTACCCGAGAGCTTCGCCGCCTATAAGTCTCGGTTCTCTAGAATTTTTTGGCCCACCGAGGGTCTATGGGTGTTTTATAACAGGAACCAATGCAAGTTTGGCTGAATTCGGCTGGAAACGGCCAACCTGAGGCGGATCGTCGCCGTAGGCAGCGGCGCCATCGCCGAAGCACGGCAGAGCCGCCGTGCCGGAATTCTAAAATTGGCCGAAAGGACCCTGGGTCTGATTTGAAATTTTTTGAGGACATATGCAGGTACCGGAAGTGTGTTTCAGTTTCAAAAAAAAAATTCAGAGAATTTAAGGACTGCCCGTAGGCGCAGTGAGAACTCGATTTCAAACTCCGAAACAAGTAAGGATCTCTCACCCTATTTTCTATCACGGTATTAAAGATTAATAAATGATAAAACGGTATTTTATTAATTAATATATATGTATAATTAATTAAGATTGCTAATGGAGCCCGAATCTGATGTATTTTTCGGTCAGGTGTTGTTTGATTTATTTTACAGTTTTGAATATAGTATGTTGTCTGATGTGTTTATTCTATGATTTTGTATGCATGAATCACGGTTTCATTTATTATGGTTTGAATTATTGTGAACCCGATGTTGTGTCGTCTTGTTTGGTATTCATTACTGGTTTACGTGTTTATGTTTGATTGGATAATTAAGATTAAAAAAAATAAAAAAAAGTATGTGAATTGATAAATGGATAATGTCGACAACTTAACTAGATATCCTGAGAGATGGTGGACGGATCGGGTCCATAGAGAACCCTACCGGGAACGTGGTCTCTCATATCGAACGGGGTATGGAGACTTTATGTGTTTTGGCGCCCATACCGGACGGGGTATGGGGACGGCCCGTTTCACTCTCATGTCGGACGGGGTATTGAGGTTTATGGTTTTAGCGCCCATACCGGACAGGGTATGGGAACGGCCCTGGAATTAAGTTATTAATGTGAATGGTTCACGTGTAGTGGGGACCCTCTATGGATCCCGATGGATACTAGTATGCTGATAAAAGAGAAAATTTGTTGCCTGATGATTGAAATACAAAAGTATGATATGTGTTATGTTATAAAGTGTGCATGATTTTATGATATTTATGATGTTATTGTTTCTCATAAGTTATTTTCATGAATCTCACCGAGATAAGTGGACAGTAAAGATTTTTATTATTGATAAATGAGTTTATTATAAATTATGCTTCATTTGTCGTTTTTATTTTCCACCAACTTTACTTCTGTGACAGTGAGATAATGCGATGTCTTTACTGGGATAGTGTAGCTCATTCCTTACTTAACCATTTCAGATCAAGAAGACTTGGTTCCCGAACCCGTCCCGCAGGAAGACGGCGAGTAGATGTCTAAATATTTCATAGTTTTATTTATGACATTCATCTCTACTATTTAATTTATTTAGTTTATTTTTTCATACGTTTAATTCGTTTTAATTATTGTATAAGGGATATTAATCATAATCTATTTTATTTCGTTTCGCACTTAAAATAAATTTATATATTTCCTTTTAATTTTCAGGGCCTTTATAATTTATAATTTAAAAATTTTTACAAATTTCACATTTTTAATTAAATATGATTTTTCATATTTACGGACGACAACAAGGTGTATCGAAACGAATATGAATAAATTTAAATCCATTTTGAATTCTAATTT